AGAGACGGGCTTTCACCATGTTGACCAGGATGGTCTCAATCTCTTGACCTCGTGATCCACCCGCCTCGGCCTCCCAAAGTGCTGGGATTACAGGCTTGAGCCACCGCGCCCGGCCCCATAAACACATTTTTAATGTGCATATTGAAGGGCCTGTGAAGAACTGAGACCAAACCTCTTAATTACTCTAAACTGTCCATGATAGACAAGAAGCTAGATGAGAATCCTGCAGCCTTTATGAAAAAGCTGAGAGAGGCACTAATAAAACACACCTCCTTATCCCCTGCCTCAGTTAAGGGACAGCTAATCCTATAACACAAGTTTATTACCCTGGCAACTTCTGATGTTAGAAGAAAGCTGCAGAAGCAGGCTTAGGAGCAAACAGACCTTGGAGAACCTCCTGAGAGTAGCCAACTTAGTCTTTTATAATAAGGACCAGGAGGGGGCTCCCAAAAAAGAAAGCACAAGAGAAGGACAAAATATCTAGTAGCTGCCTTGTAAGCTTGTAAAGTCCAGTATCTTCAGGGTGCATCCACTAGTTACTACCCACGTGGCAAGTCAGGCACTTTGAAAAGGAGTGCCCAGGCAGCAAGAGGAATCCATCTCAACCATGTCCAGCCTGTGGCAGGAACCACTGACCTCCCAAAGTGCTGGGATTACAAGTATGAGCCACAGCACCTGGTAGAATCACTTTAATAAGCATTTTAGAAGGTCTACAAAGAACAAAGACCAAACTTCTCAATTATTCTAAACTGTCCGTGATAGACCAAAAGCCAGATGAGAATCCTGTAGCCTTTATGGAAAGGCTGAGAGAGGCACTAATAGAGCACACCTCCTTATTTCCTGATTTAGTCAAGAAATAGCTCATTCTAAAGGACAAGTTTATTATACAGTCAGCTTCTGATATTAGAAGAAAACTACAGAAGCAAGCTATAGGAACAAATAGCACCTTAAAGAACCTCCTGAAAGTGGTCACTTTGGTCTTTTATAATAGAAACCAAGAGAAGGTGAGAGAGAGAG